CATTTGTGATTATTTATAATCGAAGAATGTAGAATGGACTTCTAGCAACACACCAATCACAAATTTAATCATATTTGGTTCATAATTAATAAGTTATTAACCATTTTTGCGCGGGAGTATTCTCCAATCCTATTGCCGTAACGGTGCAGACAAGGACAGGTAGATGGCGCAACAAGGATGGCAATAGTCTCAACGTGCACAATATCTTTGTTTCCTACGGCTCCTGATACTATTCTATCAGAAGGTGTATAAAAGAGAGTTAGTGGCACGGAAAAGATATTTCTGTCTTTGTCGCACATTCTACCTTTCTCTGTCTTACACACGGTAGGCACTGGACCGATAAACATACCTTCCAAAAATTGTTAATAACTCATTAATTATGTTTCGGATCTTTACAAAATTATAACAGAAATTTAGCTGAGACTTCACTCTAGATTCTTTGGATACAAAGATGCATAAATTGTGTTTGTAAAACGGCAAAATTAATTATTCTCGGAGCCAATGTCAAATTATTTGAATTTACATCGCAACGGCTATTTCGAAAAATGATAATGAACAGCTAACGATGAACAAATTATGATCGAAAACGCATTGTGAAAGTTGCTGGAAGGCTACTCTAGATTCTTCAATCACAAATGTGTATTAATTGTTATGCCAAAGAGAGTTATTAATAAATTTTTGATGCAGTGTTCCGACAGTGTTGTCTGGAAACAATTTCTTAATTAGTTATGCAGCCATAATTTATGCACCTTTATGTGAAAAGAATGTAAAGTGGAGTCTTGGCTAACTTCTCATTACAATTTTGTTGAAATATTTTGCACAATTAAGAAGTTATTAACGATTTTTGGGAACTGGAATTATCTTTCTAATGCTGGCAATGTGTTTGACGGAGAAAGACAGATGGCGCAACAAGGACAGAGAACGTATCAGGAGATAAGCAGCAGCTTCAAAGTTAGTGACACGGAAATCGTATCTCCGTCCTTGTTGCGCCATTTACCTCTCTCCGTCTTACACATTAGAGGTATTAGAAAGATAATTTCACTTCCCAAAAATCGTTAATAACTTACTAATTATGCATAAAATCCCAATAAATTTGTAATGAGAAGATGGCCACAACTTCGCCTTGTATTCTTTTGACGTAAAGATGCGTAAATTATGGCTGCAAAACCTATTAAACAATCGTTTTCAGAGAACGTATTTATCTCATTAAGGTTATGTCGAAATAGTGCTCCTAAAATTTATTAATAACTCTCTTTGGCATAACAATTTATACACATTTGTGATTGGAGAATCTAGAGTAGACCTCCAGTGACTTTCACCATACGTTTTGGATCACGATTTGTTCGTCGTTAGCAATTTATTAACATTTTTCGAAATAACCGTTACGATGTAAATACAAATAATTTGACATTGCCTCCGAGAATAATTAATTTTGCCGTTTTACAAACACAATTTATGCATCTTTGTATCCAAAGAATCTAGAGTGAGGTCTCAGCTAAATTCCTGTTATAATTTTGTAAAGATTCGACGCATAATTAATGAGTTATTAACAATTTTTGGGAGTTCTGGTAGAATAGTATCAGGAGCCGTAGGAAACAAAGTTATTGGCACGTTGAGACTATTGCCATCCTTGTTGCGCCATCTACCTTGTCCTTGTCTGCACCGTTACGACAATAGGATAGAAGAGTACTCCCGCTCAAAAATTGTTAATAACTTATTAATTACGAACCGAATGTAATTAAATTTGTGATTGGTTTGTTGCTAGAAGTCCATTCTACATTCGTCGATTATAAATAATCACAAATGCTGTCTGCAAAGACAGAAAAATAATTATTTGTAGAACGATGTTTAATTTTTTGAGGTTACGCGGGGATACTGCTTGTCAAAATTAATTAATAACTCTCTAATAACGTATAAAAT